CCCCTTCTACAAACTGTTTCTCTTCTTGTAGACCCTTACGGGACCAACAACCTTCAAGCTAGCACCCTCGTTTCCATTCAACCCAACCTCTAGAATACAAATTTCTAAGAAAGTTTTGACAATATTGGGATCTTTCTAACTAATTCTAACCCTTTATTGTTGTTGTATTTCACCCGTTTGTTCCATACCTATAACGAACATTCGAGCTATTAAACAAGGAAAAGACATGAAAACATTTTAATACGAATAACTAAAGACTAGTAACATTGTAAACAAGTAATCCAGTAACAACTAAAGACTAGTAATCTATAAACAAACACCAACAATAGATATAGATAACAATACACAAGTAGATTAGCCATTAAAAAACACCAAAGAATAATACTATCCTTTAATGCAACTGTTTCCTTTGCCAGATATCAAATTGAGATGAAACATATAGCAATCAATGAACAGCTCTTATTTCAACCCAAGTTAGAAGCTACAAACTTGGCTTGTTAAGTAGCTAAACTACATAGCTTTTACACAACCTCTTATTTTCTATAAAGTGGAAAATTTTCCATTTAGCTTTCTCCCATGAACAACAGACACTCATCACTCCATCATAAATGGAACACAAGGAAAGAAGAACAAGAGCAATTTAGGCTTGAGAAAGAAAAAGATCCATTCAACTAATTAATATGTGCAAATACTCCATCTACGATTTCAACCCAAGTTAGAAACTACATACTTGGCTTGTTAAGTAGCTAAACCACATAGTTTTTACACAGCTTCTTATTTTCTATAAAGTGGGGAATTTTCCATTTAGCTTTCTCCCATGAACAACAGACACTCACCACTCCATCATAAATGGAACACAAGGAAAGAAGAACAAGAGCAATTTAGGCTTGAGAAAGTAAAAGATCCATTCAACTAATTAATAATACTTATTTCAACAGGTTGAGGTTTTTAAATTGGGATCAGGAATTCATGCATCAATGTTCAATTAATAAGCCTTACTCGAAGCAAGCAGATGGTACCCAATAGCAATCGATTTGAAGAGAAGTGGAGAAGTAGTTACCTTTGGAGACTAAAGCAATCGATCGATACTCAGCAGTAATCGATTTGAAGTGCAGCAATCGATTTGAAGTGGAGCAGTGGTCGATACTCGAAGCAAGCAAATGTACCCAGCAACAATCGATACTCTAAGCAAGCAAATGTACCCAGCAGCAATCGATAGTCGTTGATAGGGAGGGAGTGTTTTGAGGAAGAAGATACGCTAGGGTTCACGGCCGAGGGTATGCGGGTCTTTTTTTGGGTTTAATGGGGACAAGGGTTGTTTTTTTATCAGTGCGAATAAGCCCCTTTCTATGCGAATAAGCCCAAAGTAAACACACCATTTTGGCTGTGCGAATAAGCCCATTTACTAAAGCTCATTAAGCCTCAAGTAAACACACCCATAGTGTTGTCCGATAATGACCTTTACCCGACAAGGCATCAACCGGATCGGGTGTTTATCACCCAATGCCTTGTCTAGATTAAGTATTTATCGTTTATAGTCTTGCCCGAATCAAGTGTTGACCGGTGAGGGCTTTCATCGCCCAAGTGTTGACTGGTAAGGGCATCTCATCGCCCAATTATTGTTCAATAAGGGCATATGTTGCCCAAGTGTTGTCCGATAAGGGCATATATCGCCCAAGTGTTGTCCGATGAAGGCAGTCCTCAGCCATATCGATGAGAACATTCAACCAATTATTATTCTTTGTGAATATTTCCCGATGTTAAATTATTATGTTGTGTATTATATAGATATATCTGGTGGGGTATATGTGTTAGAGGGCAGGGAAGCCGCAATAGTTGATAAGGTACATGCGTATAGATGGCGGACCGACCACGATAGTGGGTAGAGTACGTGTGATAAATGGCAGGACAGCCGCATAGTTGATAAGGTACATGCGTATAGATGGAAGACCAGCCACGATAGTTGGCAGGGTAACTATGGAAGATGGTGGCACAACCGTGATAATTGGCAGGATATTTATGATAGATGGCAGAACAACCGCGATGATGGGTAAATTTATCTTTTATGAATGGCTGGACAGTTGTTCAATTTCTAATAGCTGTTATCTGGATTGAATTTATTATTTAAATAGCTGTTATCTAGATTGAATTTACTATTTCTTTACATAAAAATAATATAAAATATAATATAACTGGTTAAAGATGATGTTGCTAAATTACTTTCAAAACATTTCTAAAAAATTCAGTAGGGTAGAAAGCAAGTTTGGTTTTTTAATTCCCAATAATAATTTTGTTAGTTTCAACATAATTCATCCAACAATTCTTTTATTATAAACTTGTCTCCTACATTTGCAAAATTTCTTGAATTTCATCCTTCCCACTAATGACAATTAAGTTTTCTGTTAAATCAAGTTAATTGATGGACCTTTTAGACATTTTATATTTTAAAACTATTTTAATCTTTTTTCAGTCATGGATCCCAACCCTCCCCTTTTCTTCTTCCCCCTTAAGGCCTCCAACCATCTCCGCCTTAACTTAAGGCATCTAACTTCTCACTTTTTACTTTTATAACATTTATATAAAACCCTTTAATCCCCATGCAAATCGCGTAATTTTGTTCATCTTTTGTACAACCTAGTTGATGGACGAAAGCCACTTTTGACCCATCGGGTTTGTTGGTTGAGGCTATTTTCCATGCTACTTTCTTATCTTTGTTACTGGAGGAGTGAAGAGCATTGTACAATTTGCTTCATGGGTTATACATCACATACACACATACATACATACATACATAAATATCTATATATATATATATATATATCTATACACTTATAGTTGGACACCATTGCCCTATTTTCGATAGATCAATGAGCCTAACCTAGTCTTTTATGTTGATGGTTGGTAGTTGTGACTTTATCGGCCATTGGATCTACAATAGTATTCCCCATCTCTGCTTTTCCCCAGCTGCTATTCTATTCCCTATGGTCGACGATCTAAGTATTTCGAGAAACACATAGAGAATCTTGATTGAGGGTTTAATAGATGATAGTGATAAGAAGTGGTGGATGATGGTGCATTATAGAGGTAGTGCTTGGAGCGAAAGGAGTTTGCCTAAGTTTGGGGTGTTTCAACAAAGTTGATGGTGGAGGGAGAAAGAGAAAGGGAACACGCAATTGTGTATATAATATAATAAAATGTTATCTCTAGGAGGTGGATTCAGAGTGGGATCGGTTGGATTATCAATAATCAATCTTTTACCTGAATAATAATAAAATGTAATCTATCTTTTAACTTCTTATTAAAATTGAGAGAAAATGTAAATTGACAAAAATGGCCCTTATTGAACTGGATTTTTTTAACGGCCGTCAACGAAATTCAAGTTGTTTTTTTCAAACATGGAGGACAAATCACAAATGTGTAATAAAATAATCCAATCTTGTTTAAAACTAAAAGCGTCAAGGACTAAAATGCAATTACTCTAAAAAATTGATGGGTTTAATGATACAACCAACATCTCACTCGCTTACTCAACGCCTTCCTCTCCTGGGACGACATTACCTAAGCTCCGATTTTGCCTCGTTGTCTCCGCCACCCTTCTCGTTGTCTGATCTTTCTATATCTACTCTGCTTCAACTTCCCCTCCTCTCTCACCTTTCACAGACATCCCAATTTGGAAAATTTCTCACCTGCAATGGCACAGTCTTTGAATTTCTTCGTCTCCACGTCCCGTTCACCGGACTTCGCAATCTCTACACATTCCTACTCAAAACCCATGTTTCAAACCCCCAATCGTCTCTTGAAACTCGCCAAATCCCCCCGCAAACCGGTTGTTTTAGTCTCCGCCGATAACGGACAAGGGGGTTTATCTGCCGTGGCGGCAGAGTATGTTTCTGATAATGGGACTAAACCCATCGTTACTGCTCCACCCGACTCGAGTTCGATTGAAGTGGATGCGGTAACAGAGGCCGAGCTGAAGGAGAACGGTTTCAGGAGTACTCGAAGGACGAAGCTTGTGTGCACGATCGGACCCGCAACGTGCGGGTTTGAACAGCTGGAGGCGTTGGCCGTCGGAGGGATGAACGTGGCAAGGATTAATATGTGCCATGGTACCCGTGAGTGGCACAAGACTGTGATCGAACGAGTGAGGAGGTTGAATGAGGAGAAAGGGTATGCTGTTGCTATTATGATGGATACTGAAGGAAGTGAGATTCATATGGGGGATCTCGGTGGTGCTTCATCGGCAAAAGCTGAGGTTTCAAATTACTCCATTCCTCCCTAAATTTGGGGATTCAATTGCTTGGCCTCTAATAAGTAGCTTTTAACTTCAAACATTCTTGATAACTCTTTTGATTGTAGATTAGGGAAAATGATTTCTCACATTTAAAGTGCACCAATAGTTAGGTATATATTGAAACTATGAAGCTAAAAGCATCCATGGCAATTAAGTTCTTGAAAGCTAGAAGATTCAAATTCAGGTTATGTTTACTTCAATGCAGTATAATGTGGTTGTTCATGAGTCAGTGGCTTCAATTTGCTGAAGCATTTACTGTTATTATACTGAGAACATGACACTCTATGTATAAGTCCTGCCATATGGCTTCAATTTGCTGAAGCATTTACTGTTATTATACTGAGAACATGACACTCTATGTATAAGTCCTGCCATATCTCCTCCCATATGGGTACATGCTTAATTGGTTAGATGTGTGAAACTTAAACAATTTGAACTTTTTTTCACATATGGTGGTAGACTATGTTCAGGGTTCTCCTGGCTCCCTTTCAAATTCTGAAGTTGGGTTCTTGTTTTCTTTGTCTTGTTTTATGCTTTCTTATTCGGGTGAAGAGTTGAAAGAATCTTAGGGAAGACTTTTTATTACAGATGATTGAAGTACTATTTGTCCCACATAACCAGTTTGTCAAGATTGTTATATGTATATATGTGGTTTGGGCACCCTTCTTTGAGCTAGCTTTTGGGAGTGAGTTCTACCCAAGCCCAGTTACCGTAGAGGATATGTTGCCTCTGGTTATTGTTACTTTTGGTGGTTGTATTTTATGTGTGCCTCAATGAAAACTTTGGGATCCGGCAACACTATTTTCATCGCAGATGGTACTTGTATTTTTCATTATTTTCTTAAAAGTATTTAAAATGGCAAGTATTATATTTGTGGATATGGATAGGTTGACTTCTAATGAAGAATCCTGTATGGTTGACATTGATGTGTACTAGACTACTAGTCATTCCTCTGTTTTAGTTATACTTTGTCTTTCTAGATACATATTTACCAAATATAACCTTATTTACATCTTGTATACTTTTAGATCATTAAACCAAGAAATCGATGTTATATAATGCAGACTGATTATATTTTTCTTTCGAAGTTTAAAATGTAATTTATCAAAATAAACATTAAGTTGAAAAAACGGTCAATTTGATTGTTTGAACTATTACTCCATGCAGGATGGAGAAGTATGGACTTTCAGTGTTCGAGCTTATGATTCCCTTCGCCCTGAGCGTGCTATCACTGTGAACTATGATGGTTTTGCAGAAGGTCAGGAAGATTTTATTTGGGATTTATGTCTAAGATAATGTCTTTTGCTTGCAATTTATGTGTTCTTATGCTATAGATGTGAAAGTGGGAGATGAACTCCTTGTTGACGGTGGAATGGTGAGGTTTGAGGTCATTGAAAAGATTGGTCCAGATGTCAAGTGCCTGTGTACCGATCCAGGACTTCTGCTACCTCGTGCTAACCTAACCTTTTGGCGAGATGGAAGCTTGGTTCGTGAACGTAATGCCATGCTTCCAACAATTTCCTCAAAGGTTGGTGCTTCAATTTCTTCTTTTGTTGATTTATATAATTGTATTTTTTTTCTTATCAAGATGCTGAGTTGGGTTGTTGGTTGATAATTTAACCACCAACAGAAACTAAATTACATAAACACTTGGGGTTTGTTCCTTTTTGCAATTTAAATGAAAAAGGTTGAAACCATAAGACCCTTAGTTTTGTCTGTGAAATTGTTTGAATCCATAACAGGCCATGTCCAAGACCTTTGAATGATGATCTAAATTGATTACGGATCATTCAGAGTGTATAAAATTTTTAATGAAAAGTTTGGCTGTTTGGTGGGATACTTGACTAAACCAAAATATCAAGCTTTTCAAAGTTTAAGCTTACTTGCTTTTCTCTCTTTCTGACACTTTTCACAAGCCGAGGGTCTTCATGGAAATAGCCGCTATACTCTTTGAGACAGGTCAAATTTACGTGTATCACACCAAAGGTGGCATGCAAAGTATTTAAACCTTTCTCAAAGCACCTATTTCAAATGACAAACTTTTAATATACCAATCAAAGCTGAGAAAAGGAAAAAGGCCTTCATCCCATCTAATGGGGTTGGGTATATTGGAACATATCATAATTTTCTTTAATGGCCTATGATTAGGGAAATTTGAGATGCGTATATCCATAAACCAATCTGACGAAATGAGTATATCCCATTCGAAAAGTAGAGTTTGGGGGTGGGATGTATGCAAATCTGTCATCTATTCCCAAAGGGTAAGACAGTTGTTTCCATGACTCTCTTATATAAGCATGAGCCTTTTGGAATGTTTTAATGGCGTTGGTCTCCCTTGACTACTTTTATTCTTTTGAAAGAATAAGTGGTGACAAGATTCTCTTTTTGTACCTATTGTGTTTTTGATTTTTCGTATGCCAAGTCTACTATTGTGTTTGTGATGATAGATCCTAAACATATTCGATTTCCATCTTGGGGGGCTCCTAACTCTTCTAACGCTCTTATCTTGAAAGAATCCTCTCATTTTCACATGTATGTCCATTAGGTCTACTGGGGAGGCGACCAACCATCACAAGTGGCGTTTCCTCAGTTTCTCCTCATCTAGCATCACCCGAAATTTAGTTTATATGATTTTATTCTAATCGTGTCGGTCATTGTGGCCACACATTCACCTTAGCATTCACCTCCCTGCACCCTCATCTTGTGTATATGTAATCTTGTCATGGGCTAATAATTTAACTCGTGAACTGAGGTGATCCTCACATATATTGCTTGGTGCGTGCAACCAGATTAGGATGGATAACATTAGCAGGAGAAGGTTGAGTGAAGCTTGAAAGCATTCAAGGATATTGATAGCTCTTTGTGATGCACCATTGGTGCCATTTGGGGATATGGTGACACCATGGTGTTAGTAGATCTATGTATTTTTAGTACATTATTTTGGGGGAATTGAGTTAAAGTAATCTTGTGACGTGTAATATCCACTTAATTGTAACCCTTTAGTAAACCTTTCATAAACAGGCATCCAAGTCATCAAGTGTTACACGATTAGTAGGCTACCTATCAAAATGGGTACAAAATAGGAAATTTTAATACTTTGTTATATCAACCGAGAAAAAAAGTTCTTCATTACACTAAATAGGAACAAAACTAAAGTTTCCTTAATTTTATTTGACCCCAGTTAAGTTTAGTTAATCCAAGTAGATTATGTTGCGCCTCTTTAACCATCTTATATTATACTTGTATTGTATAGTTCTGTTTCTTTTCTTTCTTGAACTTGGTGACTCTCTTTTTTGGTTATGTGCGACACATTGTAACTACTATGCTTGTACCAAGAGGTGGTTGGGAGAAGTAAGAGTTGGCTAAATGTAGAAATTGTCAAAACTTTGCCAAAGGTATAGGAGCCAATAAGAACGTTGGTCATGTTTATGTGTTAATGCATGTTTTTTTCCTTGTTAAAAAGTGCTCCTATCACTAACCAAACCTGAATATAATTTTTGAAAGATCAAATACTTTAAGAAGATGAAAAGTTATATGGTGATATAAGTAATACATCCTACCACCAGACTCTACTTCCATTTGGTTGGCTATATTGAGTCAGTTTAGTTTGGTTTTTTAGTAAAAGGGCTGAAAGTACATGTGTAGTTTTGGTAATTAACCATGATATGTCTAGTGTGAATAGGGGTTGGAGCACCTCCCTCTCTAATTTATTTTTTTCATTTTTGGGTGCTTACATGTTTTGTTGGTGCTATTTTTCCTTAACTTAATACTCTTTGAGTGCTTTGTGCCTTTAGGATTGGTTGGATATCGATTTTGGGATTGCAGAAGGCGTTGATTTTATTGCTGTATCGTTCGTCAAGTCAGCGGAAGTGATTAATCATCTTAAAAGTTACATCAAGGCCCGATCTCGTGATGGGTAAGAAATCTGCCCATGTACCTTAAGTCTCCAATATTCAATATCCATTTTGTGGGTTTATCTTTAAATTAGGATGGGGACCCACACACGTATCTGATTTATCTCGTAGTGCAAAATGATAATGTTGAAATGCTAAATGACAACCTATTTTGTTAAACAAGGTTGTACATTATTATTAGATCATCTCCAATGAAAACATCAAATATACTTTTTGCACTATTCCCATCTCCAATGAAGACGCTATAATTGCCGCTAAAATGGTGTAATAAATAGTAAAACACCAAATTTGTTGTAACACTATTTAGTTTCACTGTATTTAAGGTTTCAAAGTTACAAATTGGTCCTTCAAGTTTGAGATTTATCTACTTTTACTTCATTTATCATATAATAACATTATAGTTTTACATGTTAAATATATTATATTACAAATTAGATTTATATTCATTATTTAGCTTTAATGAATTTAATTTTTATGTATTCATCTAATATAAATCCATTCGAACACATCAATTACTTAATTGGAATTAATTATCGACAGTTTTGTTATGCTAAAATGGTATAATAATATACTTTATCAAGTTATTTTGAGAATAAAAAATGTGGGTATAATTTACAAAGTTATAAATATAGGGGAATTATTGAAAATCGATAAAATCATTAATTAAAAGTTTCATGTTCTGTTTGGAATAAGAGACGTTAAAAATTATGAGTTGATGTCGACTATAACCCCTAGCCTTCCATAAGAATATACTGAAAATATTTTTGGTGCAAGAAATGGTGTAAAGATTTGGTGATAACAGCATGTAGTTACACCAAGGTAGTGTAAAATAGTCAATAGTGTAACGGGTAGGAGATGGTCTTAGGCGCAATTTGGTTGGTTTTCCATTAAGTCCTATATGGATAAAGTTGTTTGTGTGTATTAATCTATTTGTATAGATTAGGATGGTTTTTTCATAGATGGTAGGAGCGTGTTTTTTTTATTGGAAGGAGGTAGGATTGAAAAAAACTTGGCAGCTTACTGAATAAACCACAATCTATATTAAGGCACTACCAAAGAGTCATATATAGTTGACCGAATAAGCTGTTAGTCCCATTAAGCTGCTAACAAACAAGCCCTTGGTTACCAAAATAGTGTTTTCAGACATGTATTTTGGGTGCATATGTTGGGTTAAGAACATGATAAAGATGCAAAAAAGAAAACAAGAACACAAGATTTTTTTTTTTTAAATTTAATGGCTCAAAGACGTATATATTTTCTGTTTTACATTACAAAAGAAAGCAATGCTTAAATACAAAACTATGCACGACAAAGGAAGGAAACTAGCAACAAATTAGGCTAGACACAAGGTAATCAAGATGAGTTATATATGGAAGATATTTTGAATTCCAATACTCCCCCTCAAGTTGGAGCGTGTAGATTACGAGTGCCCAACTTGTCCAGTAAGAACCGCAGCTGTTCAGTTCCTAATCCTTTGGTGAGAAGATCGGCAATTTGCATTGTAGAGGCGATGGACCGTGGTTCAACCTCCCATGATTACTCTTTCACGAACAAAGAAACAATCCATTTCAACGTGTTTAGTTCTTTCATGGAAAATCGGGTTGTTGGCGATGTGACGGGCGGCTTGATTATCACAAAACAAAGGAGTTGGCTTGGTCGAGTGAACATCCAATTCGGTCAGAAGCCATCTCACCCAAAAAATTTCACTGATGGTGGAAGCCATGGACCTATATTCTGCTTCAGCAGAGGAACGTGAGACAACTGATTGCTTCTTGGTTTTCCAGGATATTGGGGCACCACCAAGGAGTAAATATCCAGTTCGTGACCTTCTGCTGTAGGAACATCCGAGCTAGTCCGAATCACAGTAGGCCGTGAGAACACATACTCCCTCACGTGGGAAAAGAACTCCTTGTCCCGGCGCTCCTTTCAAGTAGCGAAGGACCCTATGTGCAGCGTCCAGGTGTGGCTGTCTCGGGTCCGCTACGAACTGGCTCAACACATTCACTGAGTATGTTATGTCTGGTCGCGTAGCTTGTAAGTAAAGCAATTTGCCAACTATACGACGATAGCAACCGGCATCAACTTTTGGTTCCTTTTCGGCTCTATCAAGTTTTAGATTCTGCTCGATTGGAAACAGACTCGGCTTGAATCCTTGTAACCCACAATCTTCAAGGATGTCAAGTATATACTTACGTTGATTTAGCACGAGACCTTCGGACGTTCGAGTCACTTCTATGCCAAGAAAATAGTTGAGGTTTCTTAGGTCTTTGATGCTAAATCTGTTATTATAGATCATCTTTTGTTGCTTGCATTTTTTTTGGGTCGTTTCCAACCATGACCACATTATCAACATGAGAGCTGCGACAAAACTGTTTCCTTGCTTGTGAATAAAAAGGGAATAGTCGGCTCGAGACTGCTTACAACCGAGGTTGACGAGGGCATTGGTAAACTTTTGATACCAATTGCGTGAAGCTTGTTTCAAACCGTATAGTGACTTTCGTAGACGACAAACTCTAGTATCTCCTTCCCTTGCAAAACCTTGGGGAATCTTCATGTAAATTTCTTCATTCAGGTTGCTATGTAAAAAGGCGTTGTTAACATCGAGTTGGTGGATTGCCCAATTTCTTTTGACTGCGACGGCCAAGAGAGTTCTGACAGTGACAAGCTTAGCAACCGGTGCGAACGTGTCATGATAGTCAACGCCCTCCATGTGGGTAAATTCTTTTGCAACGAGACGGGCTTTGTATCTTTCAACCTCACCGTTGGGTTTGTATTTCACTTTGTAGACCCATTTTGAATCAATGGCATGTTTTCCTTCAGGAAGATCTTCCATTGTCCACGTCCCATTCTTTTCTAGAGCTTGAATTTCTTTTCTCATAGCTTCTTTCCACCTGTCATTTTTAACGGCTTGATGAAAGTGTTTTGGTTCATCGTTAGAATCGATGGCCGCCAGGAAAGCCTTGTATCATAATTTTTTTTGTATGAAACAAAGTTAGATAGAGGGTATACCGTTGAGGACGCTTGATTTGGTGGAGCTTGTGCATGGTCAACCGATGGGGGAAGTTGACGTGATAATCAGCAAAGTACTTCGGTTGACTTTTATTTCTTTTCTCACGGGTCGGAATAGTGGCAGTAGGTTTAGTGGTAGTACTTTGCAATTCATGGTGAGTTTGTTGGTTATCATTTATGATTCCTGGATCAATGTGTAGCCCATCAGTTTCTGAATCTGGGCTCCTTTCATCAAGGTCTTGGGTCAAGGCATCGGGTTCACCTGGGCCTTGGACATTAGTGGATTGTCCACCTTCATTGCCCCACACATCCTGTTCGGTGTCATAATGGACCGACCTATTATATATCCCATCATCAACTTTCAGTGGGTCATCATTTTCACGTTCATCGTCTTGCTTGTAAAACGGAAACTGGTTCGCATGGAACCTCACATCCCGTGAAACAATCATCTTCTTGTTTTCAATGTCAAATATCTTATAACCTTTGGTCCCATGTGGGTAACCCAAAAACACCCCGGGCCTCCCCCTTGCTTCAAACTTGTCCCCTTTGGTCTCATTACTTCTAAAGTAAGTCAAAACACCCAAAAACTTTCATGTGTTCGTAGTCCGGTTTTTGTAGAAAAATGATTTCATAGGGGGTTCTATTTTCTATCACTTTAGACGGCAACCGATTGATGATATAGGCAGCGGTTAAAACACATTCACCCCAAAATCTTTTGGGAAGATTGGCTTCAAATCTAAGAGCACGTACGGTTTCGAGAAGGTGCCTATGCTTTCATTCCACCACCCCATTTTGTTGCGGGGTGTGAGGACACATTGTCTCCAATAAAATTCCTTCCTCACCATAAAAGTTAATCATCTCATTGGACGTGAATTCCCCCCATTATCACTTCTAATTCTCTTAACCGATTTTCCAAATTGGGTTTTTATCAACTTATAGAAGTCAATGAGACACTTGCCTGCTTCGTGTTTGTGTTTTAGAAGGAAGACCCACACACCCCTACTAAAATCATCGACAACGGTTAAAAAATAGTTTGCTCCCGAAAGCGAGGGAGAACGGTACTTTACCCAAACATCACAATGCAATAACTCAAAGCAACCATTGGTTTTAATTTCACTGTTTTGAAAAGGTAGTCTAGTGTGCTTAGCTCTAGAACAAGAATCACACAACTTATTGAATGAAACATTCCTAAGGAAATCAATCTGAGTAAGTTTATCACCGGAAGCGTGACCAAGCCTTTTGTGTCAGACATCCGTGGTTGCCATTAGAGCCTTCTTCTCGGTTCCAAACATCCCCATACGGTAAAAACCTCTTCTGCACTCACCCGCACCAATCAAGCTCCTCGTGTGAAGTTTCTGCATTACACAAAAATCAGGAAAGAACGTTATTGCCGACTGAAGGTCTTTACTCAATCGACTAATCGACAAAAGATTGCAAGTGAACTTGGGAATATGAAGAACCCCTTTTATTTTTGCACCCCACTATAAGGTGCATTCACCTCTTTCTTCAACGGGTATAGAATCTCTGTTAGGAATAAGGACGGGGTTCTCATTGCGAGTTTGGACCATGTTCTCAAGTATCTCGACGTTGTGCGTAATGTGTTCGGTTGATCTAGAATCAATTACCCAATCGTCCCCAAAATCAGTTTTACCTGCCATGGAAGCCGTCGGAGCCGGGTCATCCTTTGTTCTTTTCCCACTTCCTGCAAAGTGTTTCAAAAAGGTTTCATACTGCTCATTAGTCAAACCTGGAATGGGACTTGTACCAGTTTCGATACAGGCAGCCTTTGGTTTGCTTTCGTCTCGCTTCTTGTTCCCCGGCCACCGGTCGGGATATCCTACCCGCTTGAAACAGCCCTCCCGGTTATGGCCGTCTTTGCCACAAGAAGTGCAGTGTTCCACTACCTCACTGCGTTTGCTGTCTTTTGTGGCAGGTCCGTCTCGTCGCTGGCTGGAGTTGCCTTCTCCTTGGCCGTGTCTGAAGGTTTTAAAAGCGACAGATTCAGTCGCGGGTTTCTTGTCGCCGGATATAATTCTTTGTCGTTCATCTTCCGCAACAAGGTGGTAAGTGTTTCCCAAACTTGGAACCGGGCTCATAGCGAGAATCTGTGTTCTGATGACAGGAAATTTGCTATCGAGTCCCCATAAGAAACTCGTAAAGCCTTTCTTTTTCCATGAGTTCCACCATCTTCTTCCCAACATCACATGTACAACCATTGCATGTACAACCTATGTTGTTAATATCGCGATATATCGGCGATATATCAGATATCGCTCCTAGAGAAAATATCGGTCCATAAATATCGGTCAAAATATCGGTCAAAATATCATCCCCGATATTATCGTCGATATTTTCCGATTTTTCCCGGTTTTTAGCGATATTTTGATGCAAATATCGGACCGATATATCGATTTTTTTAGGGTTTAAATATTTGGGCTTTTGTTACTTCATGGGTCTAGTTTTTTGGGCTTGGTAACTTAAATTAGGTCTGAAATTGATCTGCCTCCAYAACGGTCTTCTTCTTTCTTTTATATTAGCTCGTTTTTGAACACTTTAGATGATGTGATGTTTTAATTTTGAAACTATATTTCTAAACTCTAATTAATGCATATTATATATATAATTCTAAGAAATATTATGTTAACCGCTATTTTGGACCGATATATCACCGATATAACCGATATATCGAATATAGGTCCTGACCGATATTTCGTATTCTGATCGATATAACAGTATAGTGTACAACGTGGAATTGAAAGAACAACCTGCATCTCATCCCAAAGCCCATGCAACTTCGTGTAATATGCAGAAACCGAGGAGCCTCCTTGTTGTGTTCCGGTGAGAATTTGTTTTAATTCATATGCCCTAGTGGCACTTTCCTTCCAAAACGTTCTAGTAGGTCGTTCTAGATCTCACTGGCAGTACTCGCCTATTTCACACTGTTTCGGATATCCTTTTCCATGGCCGTTGTGAGCCATCCTTTCACCATGGTGTCACAACGCATCCACATCATATAATCCACATCAGTCTTCTCCGGTTTCTTTATGGACCCATCGACGAAGCTGACTTTGTTTTTGGCAAACAAGAAGTTCATCATCTCCTATAACCAATCGGCATAGTTGTTGTCGGTGAGAACGTCGTTGGCATGCATTTGTTTCGGGTAATCCGAAGCATGTATGTAGAGGGGTGAGTTTGTATCAGAACCGGTTTCATGTTTTGAGCCAGGATTGGGGTTTTCTTTGTCGCCGGCCATGGACAAGGGTGGAGGCGGTTTAGGTTTGGTGTTTCTAGGTCAAACCTGCTCTGATACCATTTTAAATTTTAATGGCTCAAAGAGGTTGTATATATTTTCTGTTTTACATTACAAAGGAAAGTAATGCTTAAATACAAAACTATGCACGACAAAGGAAGGAAACTAGCAACAAATTAGGCTAGACACAAGGTAATGAAGATGAGTTATATATGGAAGATATTTTGAATTCCAATAGAATTTACGTGGTTCACACGATCAGGGTAGTGCTAGTCCACGGCGAACTAGAGAGATTCTTATTAGACTTACTGCTATTACACACGCTTTCTGCTTAGGGTTACAAGGTTACAAAGAGATCTATTTATAGAGTAGAAATTAGGTTAAACTTCTATGTGGGCTAGGCCCAAATTCTGGAATATTTTCTTCTTAATATTTAGCCCAACTGCCAATTTTATCAGACTCCACAACTCCACAGCATATTGCTTATAGGTTTTTATGGTCTCCTTATATTGCGGAAACAATCATTCTACCCTTTGGGGTGGAGGACATATCTGCATAGATTTCACCCCAGACCCTACTTTCAAGTGGGATATATAGGGTTCGTTTGGTTTTTGTTATATGCTCTATTATTTATTAAAAATAAAAAAGAAACTTGATGTAAAGGAGTTGAGTAATCTAAGCTTGAGTTGACTTATGCAGGGACATAGCAGTACTTGCGAAGATTGAAAGCATTGACTCATTGAAAAACTTGGAGGAGATAATTCAAGCTTCGGATGGAGCCATGGTAGCCAGAGGTGATCTGGGTGCACAAATTCCACTCGAACAGGTTCCGTTGGCTCAACAAAAGATCGTTCAAGTTTGCAGACAGTTGAACAAACCGGTAATCGTTGCTTCTCAGCTGCTTGAATCTATGATCGAGTACCCGACACCCACTAGGGCTGAAGTGGCCGATGTTTCTGAAGCAGTTAGGCAACGAGCCGATGCCCTTATGCTCTCTGGTGAGTCGGCTATGGGTCAGTTTCCCGATAAGGCTTTGACCGTCTTGAGAAGCGTTAGTTTGAGAATTGAGAGGTGGTGGAGGGAAGAGAAACAACATGAAGCCATGGATCTCCCTGATATAGCGTCTTCTTTCTCTGATAGTATTTCCGAAGAGATCTGCAATTCCGCTGCCAAAATGGGTGAGAAATCTTGATTATTTGTTTGAAAACTGGTACTTCTGTCCCAAAATAAATGTGCACCACGAAAAATGCTCACAGTTTGAGACGTGTAATTATTATGGTTTTTAATCAACTAAATGACAATTTCACCCTTAATTATAGAGGGAGAAATGAATAATTAAGGGTAGAATTGGAAATTAGGTGATTACTTTTGAAAGTATACACTTATATTGGGACAAACTAAAGTAGAAAGACAAAGACACTTATTTTGGGACAAACTAAAGTAGAAAGATAAGACACTTATTTTGGGACGGAGGAAGTAATATTTTTTACTTCTCTCTTCATATGTTGAACCCATGATCACCAGGGTTTAAGGGGATAACCATTATTTTGGGATATTGTTGTTGGTCATATAGATCCATTAATTTGTATGGCTTGATGGATTTGCAGCTAATAATTTAGAGGTGGATGCGCTTTTTGTCTACACGAAAGATGGACATATGGCATCTCTCCTCTCCCGTTGTCGGCCCGACTGCCCCATTTTTGCTTTTACGACCGATGCTTCCGTCAGAAGACGTCTAAATCTACAGTGGGGCCTAATACCGTTTCGCCTGGGCTTCTCAGATGACATGGAAAGCAACCTCAACAAAACTTTCTCACTACTCAAAGCCCGAGGTATGATTAAATCCGGGGACCTTGTTATTGCTGTGTCCGACATGTTGCAATCGATTCAAGTTATGAATGTGCCATAAGAAACACATGTTTTCACCCGTATTTCTTGGTGCCGATAGCCTCAACGATTATATTTGATAGATGGTGGTTGTATTTATGTCTTTTCGTGTACTAGGACCCGGTATCACCGGAGAATTATTACTTATGGATTGTGTAATAATTGGTTTTGGGTGTTTAGAGATGGTTGTTTGTTAGACTCGTGTGAAGTTTTTGCTGATTTCAAAATTTGCGAATAATAATGCAAATTTCAAAACATGCAACTTTCACAACTTAATAAAAATTTCCTTCTTATCTTGAAAAAGTACTGAAAAATCGAATAAAGTATTGACAAATATGTTGGGGGAATGGATCGGATGACAAATCGAACGCATAATAAAATAACTAAAAGGATACTCGAGTAATGCAGTGAGACACATCTTAATTTTAATGTTTCATTTTATATTTTGGATCTATCGATGTTATAATACGATTTTATGTGGTTTTGAAAAAAAATGTATTTATTTTTTAATAAAATATAGATTTGAAGATATTATAAAATTAAAAGTAAATAAATGATAATTGTAACATTTTTGTATAAGACACGTAGTCATTGGTCCAATAAATTTAAAACATTGTGTTCTTAAATTTGGAAAAAAAGAAAACAGATGGAAAAGAAAGAAAAAGTTTTTTTATATATGTTTTTGAAAAGGAAAGGCAATGGAAGGAAAGGAAGAGATGAAAAATAAACACTTTTCCATGCAAAGAAAAAAGAAAGAGAATATGATATTTTTATAAACATACCCTTTACATAGTGTTAAATTGATGGGTAGTTTTGTAATTTTACTAAATCGTTCAAGGGTTATCATTTCCTTCCATAGTTGAGAGGAAAGTTATCATTTATTTTATCTCTTACGGGGTGTTTGGTTCATGGAATTTGGTGGAAGTGAAAAGAATTGGAATGTTCAAATCTTTGACTAAATTCCAAATACCATGTTTGGTTTACAGAATAGATGTGAAGGAATCCTTCCAATTCCAACAAATTCCTTAAGTTACCGATTTTCACAATTCCACTGCATATACCACGGATTTCAAATTCTAATCCGACAAATTCCTTAGCCCTCATCCAAATTCATCGACGCTGTATCTCGATTTGCTCTGTTCCGCTATGCTCAATCTCCTTTGCTCGATCTCGTTTAAAACTAGGAATGACAATGGGCCAGGTTCGGGCCGGTTATTGGTATCCCCGAAACCGATAACTAAAACCGTTGGGGAACCTGAAGGTAAAAATCATCTTTTTCCCGTTCACCGTTGGTTATAACCGAATCCGAAACCGAACTGAAACAAATCTTAAAAAATTATAATATGTTAATTTTTACAACTAAAAGTAAATTACAATTTTTTAAAGATGCAAGTTTAAATGTCTCAAACATAATCGAACAAATTACAAACAATGTATGAGATTACAATATAAAACTAAACAGAACTTCAAACACTATACAACTAAAATCATGATTTCACAATTAGACAAATAAACTAAATTTTTTCGTGAGCCTTATTTGGGTTGTTGAAGTAAAATGGATAAAAGTTTTTAAATTTTAATGTTACTATTTTCTTTTAATGATATTAAATATGTATGTATGTATGTATGTATGTATGTAAATTAAAATTAATATATATACACATATCAGGGCAGGCGGGTCCGATGATCACCGTCCCCGCCCCCGCCCTTGTTAAAATCCCCGAATTTGTCCCCGATCCCCGCCCCGTCCCCGATAAGATGTCTCCGCCCGAAAGTTTCGGTTTTCACCATCGATTTCGGTTTTTTTTTTGTCATCCCTATTCAAAACTGCTCGATCTCATTCACTCTGCTCGATCTGGTATGCTCTCTCTCTCTCTCTCTCTCTCTCTCTCATTCTTTCCATCCCAAAAAGGATTTTCTAGAAATGTCATCTATGTAATTTTCTCGTTGAATTCCATGAACGAAACAAAAAAATTTCAATTCTGTTAAGAATTTCATTCCAATTCCATCCAACCATACGCAATCAAAAGACATGATCAAATTCCATTTCATTCCCTCAAATTCAAATTCATTTGATGAATTTCAATTCCATCAAATTCCATTCTATGAACCAAACCCTCTCTTATTTTTTTTTTGTTCCCTCCTAAAAAGTTTTGTGAACACTTGTTTTTTATATTCTTTCTTTTCCTTTGATAAAGGTTCCAAGAAATACATTAAAATGGGTGTAAACTTAAGGTTCTCACATGTCGATTTTATGTGATTAAGTAATTAAGGCTACACAAATATGGTTGATTTTGGTGATGCAAGTGATAGAAGCGTTTGAACAAACAAGTTGCAATTAGAGCATAACAAGTTGACAACTTCTCATGTAGTTGCGTTTAATGCTTGATTGAAGCAAACAACTTCTACCTACAATATCTCATTTATTGTCTACACAAAATATTTATATCATGAAAGTTTGACTCAGTTTTGGCAAAACATCGCTTTTCTATCAAAAGTTGAATGCCTTTTTTCACCTTACATGCATATTATTTAGGAATACAAGTTTAAGAAATAAATACATACTTATATATATATATATATATATATATATACACATACATATATAGGGTATATATATGTATATATATAGGGTATATTTCAAATGCAATCATGTCCATTTGTACAACTAATGCAACTCAATACAAGTTTAAGATATAAATACATATACATATATATATATATATATATACACACACACACATATATATATATATATATATATATATACACACACACATATATATATACATATATATATAAAGGTGGATTCAAATAAAAACTTATTTTTCATTGTGAACGTGAAGATAAATCTCGACCATTGATCAAAGTTTACAAAATTAGTCATTCATTAAAATATAAAAAAGTTAATGAAGAAGTGATTAGAGGAAAAAAAAATAGAAGTTAGGATTTACACCTACCATGTTTGACCTTTTATTTTCTTTTTAATTTAAAAACTTTACTCCCTTAGTTTTTAAATTAAATTATCTTTAAAATAATTAATACTTTGATTAAATAAATTATATGAAAAAAAATCGAGCATTTCATTTTCTTCGATTTGACATCCATCTCAATATAGTTTTTATTTTATTTTATGCTTTTAACGTTTTTTACATTAAATAATAATCTGTATAATGTTCATTATGAATATTTATGCATGTAGATATGTTTACAACAACACTTTAATATTCATAAATTAATATGATATTCATCATGAATATACAACTTATTATAACATTCATCATGAATAGTTATATATTTTCACGTATATTCAACAAATCTTCAATATTCATACATCACTATGACACTCATCATCAATATACATCTTCATTATAACATTCATCATTAATATATATTTTTTATACCATTCCTCATGAATACATATATATATATATATATATATACATATATATATATATATATACATATATATATATATATACATATATATATATATATATGTAGGGGAGTAATCAAATGCAAACTACTCAATTTGTACAAACCGTGCAAACCTCATTCAACCAATCATAATTTTTCATTTTGTTCATTTTTTTGTAATTATGAGAGGTTGATTAATCATTTTTATTGTGGAGGGTGTTAATCATAGATATTATCATCTTCATTATTTTAATTTTTAGAGAAATACATGAAACAGTTTCATTAAGTATTATATGAAACAATTTCACAACCATATATGAAACAACTTGATCAAAAAAAGTATTATATGAAACAATTTCACAAGATTAAACAATTTCATGAAAAAATTTCATAAGATTAAACAATGAAATCGACGGATGAGGTGGTTTGCACGGTGTTTACAAATTGGAGTGGTTTTTATTTGAACCCTCATATATATATATATATATATATATATATATTCACGTGTATACAATAACTCTACATACTTTTGTTTTTCTTTATTTGTCTTTATTAGGTTCTCGATTGATCTGGATGAGTTTGTGATTCATTTCAATAGATTCCCCGTTCCATCTCGATAAAAGTTAAAAGTGCTAGGTTATGTTTTGACACAAACACACACACCAAGTCAATGGATGGGTCCTTTGATTAGTTTCGATTGGTGTTGATCGGTCCCAATAGGTTGTCAATCGATCTCAATGTGTTCTCGAGTGGTCTTGATGGGTTCCTGATCCTTCTCGATAAAAGATGAAAGTGATAGTCTATAGTTTTATACACAAACAAATAATAAATCAATTGTTAGATTCTCGACCATTCTCGATTGGTTTGGATTCGTTCTCGATGGGTTCTCGATCAGTCTTGATGTTTGTTGGGTCACAGTGATGAAGAACGTGGTGTCTTGCAACATTGAAGAAAGTGTTGAAGAAAGTGATGACGAGTTATGGATTTACGGTGTCGAGCTGTTGTACTCACTTGAACGTACATAAATATTCATAATGAATTTAACACATATATACTATTTCACGTAAAAAATGGTTAAAACAAAGAAAAAAAACTATATCAAGATAAATGTCATATTGAAGAGCATAAAATTCTCGTTTTTTTGATATAATTTGTTTGATTAAAATATTAGTAATTTTTAAGATAATTTATTTTAAACTTTTAAGGGGGTTAAATTTTTAATTAAAAAAGAAAATCAAAAATCAAAAGGACATAGACGTGGATTAAAATTAAATGTTTTTTTACCCCCTAATCACCTTAATTAATAAGAGTAAATTATGTTTTTCGTTCCTGTGATTTGTTATCAATTTTGGATTTCCTCCTTGTCATTTTGAAATTGCGGTTTTAGTCTCTATGGTTTACAATTCATTTCTATTTTCGTCTATAAGATTAAACATTATATAAATGAATTGTAAACCATAGAGACGAAAAAAGCAATAAATATAGATGTAGATCTCGGACCTATGAATGGGGTTAATCCCGAAATGACGAACAAAAAAAGAAGTGAGTTAGACAAAAAAAGAAGCAACTTGGACAAAAAGAAACGAAGTGGCTTAGACAAATCTTTTTTGTCGATAACCTCAGACCAATCAATCGAATATTGATTAATACGTAATTGATCGAACACTACTTGAAAACGGCTCTTCTGCTCAGAAACAAAATGTTCCAAATGTTCCTAGAAATTCTTGAAGCAACTTGGACAAAAAGAAACGAAGTGGCTTAGACAAATCTTTTTTGTCG